CTATGGGATGAGTTTTAAAGTGCTTTGGGTCCGCAGCAAGTGTACTGTTGAAAAGATGGAGAAACTATGTGCAATTTTAAAAGGGACATCTCGATAAATGTTTTAAGATGAGAACTGGCATGCTCAGCAAAGCCAGACTTCTCGGCTCAAAGGCAGAGCAGCAAGGCGGCCCTTCTTCAGAAGGAGGGCTTCCAGGCACTGGCCTGGCAAGTGGACCTTGGACACGAGGCTCGGTAAGCTGTTTCTGAGAGTGGCCCGATGTTTAACGGCAAAACGGGGTGTTTACTATTTAAAGGAAGCATTTTGGTCATCTTCTAGAAAGCACCTGATAGGTGCCTGCACAAACACAAACACAGAAGAGAATGAAGTGCTGTATCACAAAACGTGTGTAGGTTGTGGGATTATAGGTCTTTTTCTGGGCACTTTGGCATCTTCCCAAGTGTTCTACATACCACAAGTCTTACCTTCATGGTTTCAAAAAAGACTTAAAAAAAATAAAGGTCCCATATGAGAAGAGGGAATGGAGCAAGGGGGGGGGAGCTTATAGGCTGTATTACCTTTCCCCTGATGAGTTATTCTTCCATTCATCCACAGGGGTTCCGCTATCACCTACCCTGTGCTAGGCATTCTAACAGGTGTGGGGTAAACGAACGTGAGCAGAGCAGACATGATTCCTATCTTTGAGTTGGTTATGTTCTAGAAGTGCATCTATTTGTTTTGTGTGGCTGGACACAGTACTCCAGGGAGAGAGGAGGGAAAGACAGGGGCCAGGCACATGGGGGCTGCAGAGAGGGGTCTGGATAACAGTCTACATGCAAGGAGATCACAGTGATCAGATATTACAAGTCGTTACATATAAAATATCACAGCTATTCCATTTTTAGAGCTTGTTTTTAAAGCATAAAATCCAAGTAGTAATAACACTTAACTCCATCCCCACCCTGGCCCGGTTATGGCTTGTTTATACACATTTCCTTGACAGGCAGCTTTGACATGACTCACTAAATCTCTGCCAAGTATGCAGGCTGTTTCCTTCATTTGCCCTTCTCTCAGGGCAAACCTCATCTTAAAATATTTTGCTTGTGATTCTAAATGAAACTTCCTAATTGAGTGTTTCCAAATTTCTAATAAAAACGCCAGTGTCCAGACCTCCACAACTACCTCCAGAAACCTCCCAAGTCCTGCTTACAGCTCCAGCCTCGAGAAGCTAGCACCTAGTAAACTGGGATTGTCTCTAGCTCCTTCTTCCCGAAGTTCGCCTCTGACTTACAATTAGGGCAATGATTCTCCATTCTACCCCTTAGAATCTCCAGGGGAGCTTAAAAAACTAAGATAGCAATTCCACCCCAGACCTATTAAATCATATCCTTGGCAGAGTAGATGTGAGATTCTATAGGTTCATTACCTACTACCTTTTCGATCTGTCCACTTGAGCTGGCCCCTAATGCAGGCCCTCATCACCTCTCAGTCTGCTAATTAAACAGTACTTTAATCGCTCTTTCCTTGTCTTAAAAAGAGCAGCGGTGGTGATGGCAGCAACAGCAGTGAGCTGACCATCACTGAGGGCTTACCTCGTGCCAGGCACAATTCTAAAATCATCACAACGCATGGGCTCATTTGCACACAATTCTTGAGGTCAAGTCCTCTTCTGGTTCCCATTTTATAGACAAGGAAACCAAAGCAATGCGAGATGAAGTAACTCGGCTAATGCTGCACCAATAGGAAGGGGCAGGGCTGGAGTTCAAACCCACGGTGTTTACACCCTCCGACACATAGATGGTGCTCCCCGGCTGTGTCAGGCTTTGCTCCTACACACACGTGTGTCTCAGAATCAGAATGAGATGCTCCGACGTGAAAACTGAGAATGGAGGCTTCTCCATATCTGTAGCATTGCAAGGTAACGGTAAGTTTCCCCCAATACATGTTTCTTAAGCTTTTGAGGCGTGTTTCTGCCTTTTTTTTTTTTTTAAGATTTTATTTATTTGAGAGAAAGAGAGAGCACGAGCAGAGGGGAGGGGCAGAGGAAGACAGAGAAGCAGGCTCCCCACTGGGCAGGGAGCCCGATGCAGGACTAGATCCCAGGACCCTGAGATCATGACCTGAGCCGAAGGCAGACGCTTAACAACTGAGCCACCCAGATGCCCCTGTGCTGTTTTTTTTGTTTTTTTTTTTTTAAGATTTTAAGTAATCTCTACACCCAATGTGGGGCTTGAACTTACGACCCCAAGATCAGGAGTCACATACTCCACTGACTGAGCCAGCCAGATGCCCCTTTGTTTTTCTATATTAGAATACACAGTGTGATAATCCACAATTTACTAGAAAATGAGCCATTTTGTTATCTACAGTGCAATGTGTCAACTGTTCAAGCTTCTCCACTCTGACAAAGTAAGGAGCCCCTGCTCCACCAGCATGCTGAATTAGTGTCTGCGGAGCACATACCTGCGATGGATGAATGTTTGCTTGGCTGTTGGAGCTACAGGCGTGGAACCTTGTTGAGCGTTTAGGGATTTCATATATCTTTATGTCACTCACTAAGTGAGAATGGGTACCTTAATTTATTTAAGGAAAAGAGTCTAGAAAGAGAACGGAAGCTTAGAGAGGGCAAAGAACTGTTCGTATCTCTGAGTACAGGCTCCTGGAGGAGTGAAAGGAGGAGTCCAGGAAGCAGAGGGCTGTAAAAACTGACAGATGCCACCTGCGCTGAGCAACAGCAGGGGCACTGCTTGGACTCGGGCGCAAGATGGCAGTTGCCGAGCTAAGCCAGGTGGCAGGAGATCAGCAGAACAAAGGATGCGGTGGTGGAGGTGGGAGTCGGGCTCTTGTGGGAGAAGCTGGTGGTGAACACCCGCAAGCGAAATAAGATAATGCTCGCAGGAGGAGGAGGGCTGGACACAGGGTTTTTATTTTATTTTTCAGAGATGGATGGCTCTGGGCAACAGAAAGGATGGGAAGCTCAATGAGTACCCATGCTAGTTTGGAAGGGAACGCACTTCCTCTAAAAGTAGATGGAGATTTTAGACAATGTGCAGAGACAGTATGTGGAGGGAGGAGCAGAGGGAGGGCCCTGCGTCTCGGGGTCCGCTGGAGTGGGCTGAGGGATGCCGCAGGATGGGTGGGGGGTGAGCAAAGGCTTGAAACTTGTAGAGAGACAGCTGTGCCGGGAGGAGACAAGCCAGGTCTGTGGCAGGGTGGATGAGGGGTGCCCTGTCCGCCACCGCGACTGACCACTAGAGGGCATTGGGACCTTGTGTTCGGCCGTCCCAAATGGGACTCTGGGGGACCAGAGACACCACCCTAGCCTAATTCCTGGGGCTGCTCAGGCCTTGGTGCGTGGCCACAGAGCCTCTCAGGGGCAGCCCACACCCGACAGCTCACTGTTCCCAACACAGTTGCTGGTCTCTTCCTAGAGATGGTGGAAACAGCTCTCCCCACTTGTCTCCCCAGTGGACGGCAGGGACCATCACCTGAGAACTACACATGCTATACCTTCTAAACATCCAAGGGCTCTGCCTCTGTAACCTGTTCACATGATTACTGCAAATCATATGGGCTACCGAGCCTTTATTTATCTTCTACTTATATCTTCTTTCTCCTCAACTAGACTCTAAGCTTTTAATGAAAAAGGGCTGTCAGGGTATCTTAAAATGTTCTGAATGAGATGAAATAATATGTCTGGGATTTACTTTGTTTATTTTTTATTTTTTTTAAGATTTTACTTATTTGACAGAGAGAGACACAGAGAGAGAGGGAACACAAGCAGGGAGAGTGGGAGAGGGAGAAGCAGGCTTCCCGCCGAGCAGGGAGCCCGATGCGGGGCTCGATCCCAGGACTCTGGGATGATGACCTGAGCTGAAGGCAGATGCTTAACGACTGAGCCACCCAGGCGCCCCTGGGATTTACTTTAAAAACAACCCAGTGTTGTACGAGGGGGAGTGTGGGTAAAGGGCACAGGTGAAATTTTCCATAACAATGTTTTATTTATTTTTAAAAAAGATTTTTCCTTTATTTATTTGACAGAGAGAGAGCACGCGCGCACACAAGCGGGGAGTGGCAGAGGGAGAGGGAGAGGGAGAAGTAGATGCCCCGCTGAGCAGGGAGCCCGACATGGAGCTCAATCCCAGGACCCTGGGATCATGACCTGAGCCAAAGGCAGACGCTTAACTGACTGAGCCACCCAGGCGCCCCATAACAATGTTTTAAACAACACCCTGTTTCCCCAGGTCTCCTTGTCTGTAAAAGGTGTAGGTCATGCCAGTGGGTTTCCTTCTAGCTGCACCCTCTATGATTCTGAGGCTCGCTGTACAGTGCATAACACCAGTTAGCTTGCAGGGTTGTGTGGGTCTTAAGGCTAGGGATGCCCAAGCTCCTAAGAAAAAGTCCTGGAATGCAATATCCCAGGACCATCTCTTCTGGATGTCAGTCCCCTGCAAGCCCCGGGGAGGCAAGACCTGCTTGGACCCCATTGCTCCCCCACTCCCAGGACCATCCCGATCTTCCTCTGGGGCCTGAGCTGCCACAGGGCTTGGCACGAAGGCCTCCACGGCCCTGCTGGGGTTCTTGTTTGCACGTGTTTTAATTAATTCTTTTCTATAAATCCTGTACGAAAGTGCCTCTTCAACTGTAATCACCTGCAGCTATGAGAAGTGGCAAGGCAGAAGGAGCTCCAGCAGAGGGAAAGGACAGCACCGCTTCCCGGGTGGCCCGGGAGGAGGGGGCGGTGGGAAAGACCAGGGTTGCCAGGCAGGGCGGGGCCGGCATTTCTAATCACACGCCACCCATCCCAGGTGATAGGCGCACGTGTGCTGAGGTGGGAGGGGCGGAAGAGCACACAGGTAACCCCACTATACCCCTCCCTGACCGCTCTGCCTTCCACCCGAGGCACACACACTTGAAGCAGCACTGCCAGGCCCCATCGGCTTCGGGAAGGCGGAGGGGACGCAATGCCATGGGCTGAGGTGACAGTGTCCCTCCGGCACTTGAAGGGGAAACAGACTTACCAAGTGTGCTGGGGATGGTGACCTGGTGTCCTTGACTGTGGCACTGGAGGGGACATCGAGGAGGGGCCACTTCATCTGCAGGTACTGCACAGGGGACAGAAAACACAAGGCAGCTGGTTAGAGGTCTTGCGAGCACCCCCAAGTGAGCAGAGGAGGAGCTCTGCAGTTAGGGTACTGTTAGTTCACTGCACCTGCACGAGCTCCTCCCTAGTCGGCGTCCATGCGATCATCTCCAGGGAGAGCATGTGCTTATAGTCACCCCTACCACCACCAGCGCCCTCCCGTCATTTTGTGGGGGACTCGCACAACAGCACAACCAGCCAAAGTGTCCAAAGAACCGATCACTGAGGGTCAAGTTCTGCCTGCTCTAGTCATGGGACAAGCAGGGCTCATCAAGGGACCAAGGGCTCCCAGATGGTGATCTTGCCCCCTTCATCCCCATGGCTTATAGCATCACACACAATACTCCCTAGGACATGGCCTCCAGGAGTATGTGGGGAGTGAATGAATAAAAACCATCTGCCTGACACTCGAAGGGTCATGGGTAATATCTGTCCATACTCAACAACGCTGATTTAACTTCTAGTTATAGCGTTTCTTAACCCTGAGAGGATTATCTAGTACCTTACCCTGTACTAATCCAAACCCAATAGTAAACCCTCTACACACACACACACGTGCGCACACACTTTCTTTAAACTAAAAGCCTCTCCTCAACGCTGGCACGGCAGTCTTTGGCAAGGGCCCGGGAGAGGATGAGTGGGGAGGAGGGGAGAGGCCCTGGGTGAGCTCACCTGGGTTCCAGAGTCAAATGCTCATGGGTTCAGGGTCTCACTCTGCCAGGCTGTGCAACCCTGGACAAGTGTCTTAACAACTCTGAGTCTCAGTTTCTTCATCTGTAAGGCAAGGCTAAGTCCATAATTTTGCCAGTTGTTAGAAGGATTAGGGACAATGTCAAGTACAGAACACAACCCTTCCCACGTGGGAGACATGTGATAAATGGCAGCTATCATTTCCATAAGCAAACCATTAGTCTTCGCCAGGGGCAAAAGCACACATGTTGTCTTGGTGTCAACACTGATGCGGTGCTTTTGGGCAATGGACCAGCTATGCAGCCTCTTTACAGAATTCTTGAGGTTACTTTGAAAGTTACACCTCCAATAAGAAATGCTGGCTCCAGGAAGAGTTTCATAGAGAGACAGAAATAAGTCTCTGAGTTTTCCCTTGCTCTGGTCATTCAATTCCAGGGAAAAAGAAATCGTGATTTGGCCTTGAGCTAAGTGCCCAGAATTGGAAAAGTAGAATGGGTGGTGCCCCTTGGCTCTTCATCACCCACAAACATGGACTGAGAGGGCAGGGTCTGGGCTTTCAAAACAATGTCCACAGGCAAGGATAATAACCCCAGGACACATTTAAGGAGGGCCAGTGGGCCACACAGACAGCACGTGGATGGGCCAAGCAGGCCTGGCTATAGGAGGCTTGGGAAGTAGGAACGAAAGAGGGGATTTGAGGGGCCCTACAAATAAGGACAGTCTCCACTCCAGGCCCTCTGGTACCTGCCCCCTCCTCCCTCGCTGCTGCCATCCTATCATTCTGCCCCTGCGTTCTGCTGACCCTTCCCACCCCCACCCATTTCTTTCCCTACCCAGAGCCTATACTTTCTAGATGAACTAACTGGGATTTCAATGCCTTTGGCAAATTAAAAGGACTGGACAAATATTGGAATCATTAGTTAAAATTCATTTCCTCAGTGAATAACATTTGTGCCATGCGGGCAGTTTCCAAAGCATTTTTTTTCTTTTCTTTCTTTCTTTCAAGATTTTATTTATTTATTTGAGAGAGAGAGCACACGTGCGCACGAGCGGGGTGGGGGGTGGTGAGGAGCAGAGGGAGAGGCAGAAGCAGTCTCCCTGCTGAGTGGGAAGACCGTCATCGATCCCAGAACGCTGAGATCATGATCTGAGCCGAAGGCAGACGCTTAACCGAATGAGCCACCCAGGCGCCCCTCAAAGCATTTTCGCACACGTAAACTGGTTTCATCTTCACAACAACCCTGCTCTTGTCAGTAGAGGTGACTGTCCCAAATTTTCGGAGGCACTAATGGAGGTAAACACAGGGTGAGTGATTAGCCTGAGTTTATGAAGGGAACTGCAGCTGAGGTCCCTTGACTTCAAACCCCACACTGTTCACTACAACGCTAGTCATAACACTTTCCATAACATCACCTTCTTGAAACCCCACCCCTACCCCAGCCTGGATTTTTCTCTCTTCCCTTTCTGTCTCACACAGGGCTGGCCACCTCAAAGCTGAATGAATCTCCCATAGAGATGTTTCCATAGCACTAACACCCTGAGCATTTCTGTTTATTTCCTGGAAGTGAGCTACAATCACAAATATCACGTGCTAAAGAGAAGTGTCCCAAATCCACCCCAACATGAAACACAGTAGAAGGGTTCCTGAAACCCACCAGTTCTACCAGCATCTGGTTTCCTAGCTGGAGTCCTAAAGGCACACACTGCACACTCTTCATTCTTGTTGGCTTACCAGGGAGGTTCTTAGATCAAAGAGGAATCCCCCTGAATCCTAGTTTGGGAGAGAACACTATCAGCGACCTTTTCAGGCTGTGAGGCAGAGCAGGCTTGTGGGAGTCGAGCACAGGGTTTCTCAGCCACGGCACGACTGGCATTTGGGGCTGGATATGGTGGGAGCTGCCCTGTGCACGGCAGGATGTCGAGTAGCTTCCCTGGCCTCTGTCTACTAAAATGCCAGTAGCTCCCAGTCTCCTGCCCATTTGCGATCATCAAAACCGTCGTCTCCAGACTGCTGAATGTCTCCTGGAGCGGCCAAACTGTCCCTCAGGGAGAGTCCCTGCTCGAGTGGCTGAGGAGCTGGTACCTCATATACTATGAGCTACATGAGGGTCGGCCTTCGAACTGGGCCTCTCAAGGCACAAACGTGCATAGAGACACACATGCTTGGAGCAAGTGCTTTTAGTAAGAGTTACTGGTTTCGGTTGTCCATCACAGGGTTGGTGTCTTACCTACCCACTGCCTGGAATGCCAGTGGGTGGAAGAGACCACACTGTCCTCTTTGCTCTGCAGGGTTCCCCTCTCACTCATTGGCTTTAACTGAGGCCTGGAAGCTTCGAAGTGGGTGAAGATCTTTAGCCTTATCCACCACCGAAGTCTGGCCCCATAGAGATCGGTCAGACAGGTGGGGAGAGCGGTTCTGGGAATAGTGGACATCTGGCCCAGGACCCTTCCCGCTCCAGCCAATCTGGGGGGGCATAGGGGTGCAGGTGCACAAGTAAGGATTCAGTCTGGGGATAGCGAAATGGAGGATTGTCCCTTCCCCCATTCTAACTTGTTCTGCCTTTTTAAGATATTGAAACAAGTAATGAAGCGGGGTGGGGGTAGGAGAAGACCTATAAAAAGGCATTGGAACCTGCTGTAGCTTAGCTATCAAATGCGTCTGGATTGCAGTTCTGAAGAAAGGAGCATTGAAAAGGGACAGCTGAGCTTCCCAGGACCATGACTTGGGGCAGCAGGGGCCAGCAGCACCCTCTGCTCCTCTCCTGCCTCAGCATGAGAGATGTGGAGGTGAGGCTGGTCAGGCCCAACCCAATGTCTAATGGCAATAAAACTCTGTTTGGCTGCACTTCTCGTCCAGACCCACAAATCACCCTGGGGCCAGTTATTGGTGGGAGCATGTCCTTAGGGATTGAGAGAGGTGTGGCCGAGCCTAGATTCTCTGCATGGTAATGGCATGTGGCAAATTAAAAATGCTGGTTTCTCCAAGCCCAGTCTAGGCTCCATCCAGCTGATCCCAACTGGCTCCTGACCACTGTATCATGCTCAGGCTGCAGCATAGTGAAGCCACCTCCCTGCTGGGGATGCTCTCTGGAGTTTAGAACAGGGAACCTGGTGGCATCGAGGCAACCGACGGCCAAGCAACAGCAACGGCTGTCACTCATGGCATGCTGTCTGTGGGACAAGTACTCTCTTCTGATACCCCAAAACAGGAAGGAAAAACCAAACACAAATGGTGAGTAGTACCACTCTTCTGAGTTACATATGCTGCTCAATATGCTACTGTATGTCGTGACTCTCTGAGACAGAAGAGACACGCAGCTGCCCACTCTTACTGAATCTGGGAAACTCTTTCTGGGGGTTGGGGTTCCACAGAACACACTTGGGGAAACCGAGCTGTTGTGGTTCACAGTTCAGCAGACAGAGGCTGTGGCTTAGAACCCGTCTTTGCCTCATTAAGGAAGGATGGTTCTGTTCCTGGTTTTAAATCGTTTTCACTCGAACAGTTGTTGAATTCTCTCCGATCTACCAAGACGGTCATGTGGTTTCTCTTATTTGCCTCAGTTGTGATACGGATACACGGGGATAGATTCTTCTCACACGAAAGCGCCCTCGCATTCCCCAGGTAAACCCTATTTGGTCATGGTGGCTTGTTCGTTCTTGCACTGTATCGTGGAATGCTAACCACGGGTGTCTTAAGATTTTTACTTCTACGTGCCTAAGAGTGAGTGAACGTTTTCTTTTTTGTGCTATCTTTAATCAAGCGTTGCTATCAGTGTTATTTTGGTTTTATGATTTATAAAGGGGGCTGCGCCTCTTTTTCTTTATGCTCTGGGTCCCTTTCTCCTTCTCGGCCCCTCCTCAGTGCCCTCCTTAGGGTGAATACTTGGCCAGGTGGGCTATTTCCATTCGACTCGGGCCCAGGGAAGGGTCCCTCTGGAGGGTGCTCTCACTGGACAGCCAGAACCCCCTTTCCTGCAGGGAGGCAGAGGTTCGGTCCTACAGGATCCCTGCTTAGCTTTAAGACTGTGCAGCAGATTAATTGCAGCTGTGCCCTGGAATTTCCCCAACATACAAATCTTCATGATGTAAAACAGCTGGGAGGAAATCCCAGCATGCTCTGGACAGAGGCAGAACTGCCAATGAGCTACGGAGATTAACCCTCCACCTCCCAGAAGGCAGCGACGCCCCCCCCACCCCCCATCTGCCCGTTCCAAGCTTGCTGTGGTGCTGGTGCGGACAGGACGCTACAGGACTCTGGGTAACGCCCACATT